ATACATGGGGTGGAATGTTGAAACCAACTGGCTGAATACGTTTCTTTGTGTTTTCTTATCCTGTGTCCTTCACCAGCATGGCTGTGTCTTATACATTTCAGTCTTTAAGATGTTCACTGAGCTTCCGCCTTCCTCATCCCAAAGTCACGGGGGAGGGTTCTGAAGAGTGAAGGGACCTTTGTAATTCTAATGTGGAACCAGGCTATAAGAAGGAAGCAGCAAAATAATAACCACTGTAAGCCTTACATATTTGTAAGGCTATAGAAACAGCAGTATTTGTATACTCATACTGCTGTTTCTATAGTAAACATTTTGGCATCCATTTCAAATTTTCTATTAGGTAAGAATTTCAGGGTTGGAAGCCTTTCTTTCATCATTTCTTCAAAGCTCCAGCACACCTTTAGGTTTTCACAATTTGTACGTATAATCCTTAAAACAAAGAAAGGCACCTCAGTGAGGGAGCATGTGTGAGAAATAGGGAGGGGGCTGGGGAGAGAGAAGGGAAGAAAACATAGGTTATACAACTCTTGTGTCCTTAAAGACAGCTTGGAGACATGGAAACCATATGTGAATTTTTAGCTAATAAAATAAAATGCCAAAATGTGGTGGCTAAAGCTATTGCACCCAAAATGTAATTGGACATATGCTCATTTACTTGCTTATAATCAAAACATTCAAAAAAAAAAAAAAACTGTTTTGAACTGAGGCTAGGTGTAAGTATTGGACTAACTTAATTTATGTAATTATCTCACATGGAAAGAATGCATTTGTGCCATGGTGTTACTATTCCATTAAGAAAAGTAAACAATGTATAAGCTGGAATAGATAATACTTGCACACAACCAAAAAGTTCCTATTGCCTATGTTGAAAAGAGGAAAAGAACTTATTAATTTCACACTGAAACTATTTTCCAGTGAACGTGCTATTTGGCTCATGTGCCTGCTGTAGATTTATCATGTTCACGCAAATGAATGTCAGTCTGTTTAGGTAATCAATGCAAATTTCATTTCGTTAGTCAAAAATAACAGCTTTTACAAGTCTGGTGAAATTGCCATAATGTCAGACTTACTTTGGTTGCTAAACTCAGTTTATGTACCGCATGGATCTAAATTTCTCATGTGAATTCATTCAAGAATCCCAAAATAGTATTGGGTTTCTCTTACCCGAAGGCCCTTTTTAGTTGGTCAATTTATTTATCCTTACATATTTACTTATTCATTTGTTGGTTGGTTAGTTGGTTTATTAAGTACCTAGAAAAAAAGCACAGTTATTAAAAAAAACAAAAAACACATGATTCTGAAACAGATCATATACACCGGCATTAGTAAAGGACCCAATATAGTAGAAAAAGCAAAAAATAAATCAGATTTTGAAAAATTTAAACAGTTGTGAGGGATGATAAGAAGTTTGACTAAAAAAAAAAGAACTATTGACATGTTTTTATTATCTCAGAAAACGTTTACGTAGGAGCTTTAAAGGAGACCAGATGACAGGATTAAAGGGAAAAAATTAAAACTCAAATTTCCTTCCTCAAAGCAAGGTAACATAAGAAAGGAAACAAACACATATGAGATGTATACAGATGTTTGTAAAGCCACTTCTCAATCCATGTAAGAACATAATGCAAACTGAGTTAACAATAGCAGGACTTGAGAGTACACGATGCTCACATACTTCTGCTATGTCATGTCATAAATGTCTAAATATATGCTTAGCAAAGAATTCACAAACCATCTATCTGTATATAATCACTAACTTACTGGAAATTTATTTGTTTATTTGTTTATTTATTTATTTATTTTTGAGAGAGAGAGAGAGAGCGAGAGCATGAGTGAGTGAGGGGAAGAAAGAGGGAGAGAGCGAGAATCTCAAATCAGGGCTTCAGCTCGCCTGACATGGGGCTCAAACTAATGAACCGTGAGACCATGACCTGAACCAAAGTTGGATGCTTAGCCAACTGAGTCACCCAGTTGCCCCAGGTGCCCCAGTTGATTCTATATTTATGATACAAAGAATTATCATAGGGTGAAGTTTGTCGGCACAAACGATTTTGGAGAAGGTAAATTGGAAGGTAGATTGATGAGAGGCCATTGTTGAGAAGGATGTGTGTGATTCTAGAAGCACAGTCAGGAGGCTGGGAAAACAATGTAGGCACTAGAAAGAGGAACAATGGGAGGCTAGAGGGAGATATGCATTTTAGAAGACTATGTTGGAAATCAAAAAACATTTTAAGGTATTCAAAAGAAAAAAAAAGAAATTGGCTTGAATTGAAATCTGAAAATAAGGCTAGTTGATTCAATACTTTAAATTCTGCGTTGTAGTTCTTAAATAAATTTTTCTTTACACGATTGGCTGGACGTGAGGAATAAGGTGCCCAGGGTTGATAGCAAGAAGACATGTAGAAGACCTTATGGTTAATTTTACAGTTTTATATTCAAAATAGACTGAGCAGGGGCTTTCTGTGAAATGATTAAGGCATGTATTGTTTTGTGTCCACTGTAATGGAAGCAGGGACTCTGTCTCCTATTGTGTAGCCATTGAATTAGAATTGTGTCATGGCATCTAGAGCACAGACACTCAACTGCTCAGAAGTCAACCGATGGATTGGAAAAATGTGAATCAAAATACATCAGGAAAAAAATCATAAGATCATATCAATTTATAGTGAGGCTAAAGATGACAGACTAAGAATGAAAATGAAAAATCACTTTATTTAATTTTCCTTTTCTATAAAAGAAAACCATGTCCTTAGGAACAGAGGGGGAAAGAATCCTACCCAGTGTTGAAACCAACCCTAGAGTGCCACCTCTGAACTCATACTCCAGGGGAAGTGGAACTTCCTGAATCAATCAGTGACCAGTGTGCCAACTCTAAAGCTCCGAGAAATTCTCAAGGCTTATTCAATTTTTTAAAGAAAAGTTTACTGATTGCTGTTCAAACCCAAAACAGACATTGAATATAAATGACATATATTGAAATACATAAAGAATATATAAGTATAAATTGAATCCTTCCATTTATTAAATGCTAGTTATATGCAGGCAATGTATTGACTGACTTACTTTAATCATAGTAGTAAAAATATGGACTTTCAGGTTAAATTGCCTATGTTAAAATTATAACTTTTTGGGGGCATCCGGGTGGCTCAGTCAGTGAAGAATTCGACTCTTGATTTAAGTTCAGGTCATGATCTCACGGTGGTGAGCTCGAGCCCTGCATTGGGCTTTGTGCTGAGTATGGAACCTGCTTAAGATTCTCTCTCTCTCTCTCTCTCTCTCTCTCTCTCTCTCTCTTTTTCTCTCCCTCTGCCCCTACCCACTAGCATGAGAGTGTTCTCTGCCCCTCTGAAATAAATAAATAAATAAATAAATAAGATTCTAACGTTGTCATTATTAACTTTGTTACCTTTAGCCAGGTGTCCTTTATCTTAGTTTCCTCATCTTTACAATCCAAATAATAATATTTGCTTCATACCTCAAAGGGTTATTGTGAAAACTGATTGGAATAATTCAAGCAAAATACTTAGAATAGTGATGAACATATAATAAGCACTCACTCAGCAATGCACTCTAATCCTCACAACGCTACAAAAATCTAAAAAATTGAAGCTCAAAAATTTTAAGAATTCTGTGCAAGTTCCTCTATCTGGTTAGTAGCAGGGCTGGGATTTTAACCCAGTATGCCTGACTGGTCTGTCTTCACAGTGCTTCATTACTTAATATTCACAACTGGGACCTCGACCTTACCCTTCAAGTGGCCTACCAGGTGTTGGTACATAGAAATGGGTCAGCCTCACAGTGCTCCATTTCCCTCCTGCACAAAGACTGTCAACATCTCTTACTCTCCTCTGACCTCTGCAGAATTCAGCAAGCCTAATCTACAGATCCAAGAACTTAACTCATTAAAAAAAAAAAAGAGAGAGAGAGAGAGAGAGAGAGAGATTGAGAGAGTTCAAATTTCTTCAGAAAAACCAGAATGACTCTTCAGTTTGTTTGTTTGCTTAGGATCATGTAACCTTCCAAGGAAAACGTTTAAGATTTTGGAGAGAAGTTGATTTTTGGTGTTAAAAAAAAATGACATGATAACTGGACACAGTTGGCTCCAGAGAGGGCAACAGCATATAAAATCATGAGACACTTCAACCATCCTGTTAAAGTTAGAAAAATCCATTACCAAGTTGTAGAAGGAAAACAACTTGCGGAAATATCATCGAGGGCCGACCGTTTCCAATCACTGGTACTCCATTCATTATATGCTTGAGTGGTTCCAGGAACAACAGAGGACCGTGCACTGTTACAATGCCAAGGACAAGAAAGGCAACTCAGCCTGTCGGGCTGACTTCCCCTCACAGCAATCCGAACATTTCAGGCTTCGCTTCCCTTGCCCAGATGAGTTAGTCACTAGGGAAATGAAGCCATGGCCAAGGACTCCTTTCTCAGAGAAGACTCACTGCTCTTTTATGAACCATCGCCTGCTTCCACATTGTTCAGGCCTAGCACACACAAGCTCTATTTGGAAGGGACAAGAATGACATGTCAATCCATCTTCATTCTATTTTCCCTTAGTTCTTTATTTTAAGTGCTTACATCAGGGGACCACTATTTTCAGGTAGAATCACTGATTCTTACATCATCCCTATGAAACTGTTGCATTGTCTGGACAAGGAAGCGGATGCTCATGATATTAAGTTTAAAAGAGCATGTAGTTGCAAGTGATGGAAATGGGGTTTGGGGGCACCTGGGTGGCTCAGTCGGTTAAACGTTCGACTCTTGATTTCAGCTCATGATCTCACAGTTCCTGAGATGGAGCCTGGCGTCAGGCTCTGCCCTGGCATCACAAAGCCTACTTGGGATTCTCTTTCTGCCTCTCTCTTTGCCCTCACCCAGATGGTGCTCTCTAAATAAATAAATAAATAAATAAATAAATAAATAAATAAAAGAAATGGTGCCGTACCTAGGTCTCTGAGTTCTAAAACCCACGACATTTCACACGGCAGTTTAGCAGAGTTTGGAGGGATGAAAAATGCAGAATCCATAGTAGAGTGTAGAGAAAAAAAAAGTCTAAGTTCCGTTTGAGCAAATACAAAAAAATTGATGCCTTTGAAAGAAGTAGAGAGCATCTGGATAAGACAGAAGAAAAAAAGTTTGTCTACTTAATATTTTATCATAAAAGAATGGGGGGGTGGGGCCAGGGAAGGTAGTATTTTAGCTTGCCTGGGGGTCCTGTATAATAGCTCTAAGCAGACATATGGTCAATGGCCACAATGAATAAAATATGCAGCCATAATGAAGCAATATTTTAAAATTCCCATCTGAGATACTGATTCATTTGTATGTAATTCAGACTTTAAGACTTGAGATGGTTATTCTTGCTGAGCTCAAGAACACACATTCCAACCTTTGTAAATTTAGTTAGTGATATGTGTAGGAGTTAAATCTTTCTAATATTTTGAAGTGAAGACGCTGATATTAAGAGTATAATAAGTCTAGGTATTAAAGCCACACATCCAAAAGTAAGAGAGCTAGTTGCTCAGTCTTGAGAAGGCATAATTTGATTCACATATTTGGTAATGATTGCTTAAATATGTTAGAGACTTTTGTAAAAAGAATTAGCAACTGAGGTGTATCCCACAGGGATGCCTTGCAAGTTCTCCCCCTACAGTATAGCCCAGAGCTTTTATTAGATGTCTATGCTCTTATAACTGGTTCTGAATTGAACTATGGTTAATTTGTCCCTTAGCCTATTTGTTCTCTAAAAAGTTTGTAACCTAGAATAATAAAATTGGCTTTACTGACTCACTTTCTATTTTCCACTCTCTTTAGGGTTTTGTCCTAACATCTCCAGTTCAAAAAAAGAATAAATTTATGCAGGGCTTGAGTTAGGGAACAGCTGGTATTGAAAATGTTTCTCTTCTTTAAGCCCTCTCCCTTCCTTATCCAAACAGAGAAAAGACAGATCTGTTTTTTCCTACTCAAAAGGAGCGGAATGAAATCCAAGTCCTCCAAAAAAGAGACGGAATGCTGTTCTACCTCACTACTCACTCCTACTTCAAACTTTAACTGTTGGACTCACATCATTTTTTGAATGTTAAGCCATTTTTCAAAGGCATTAGATTCCCAAGAGGTAGGTACAGATTCGTTCCAGTTTAAGCAAAATTTAAACACACAAATTTTAAAAAACAAAGTGAAACAAACAAGCTGGCCACCACTTGTCTCTTCCTTTTTAGACCACTAAGTTATGAACACTGAAGACAACCCAGGGTGTTCGCGCCATCGCAAACGGCACTCTTTTGACCCCCCTATCTTCCCAAAGAAGTTTGGGAAGACCTGAGCTGTTGAGAAGTTGCCAGTTAAGAAGTCAGTTTGGAAGCCACTTTCAACCAAAGTTGTGTAATCAGAACTGTTGGTCTTAAGTATGTGTTTGAGCAATGTATTAAATGGCATTAACATGGACAGTAAAAACTTTGCATTATTTTCTTCCCTGGGGGCATATAATGCAAAACTTCATTGACTGGAGCCAGTTTGGTAAATGGGGCAGAAAATGCCTGTAGAACTGATGTAATGTTATGAAGAAAGTGGAGCATAAGAGGGCATATAAACTCCTAATAGTATTGTTTCCTAGATTTTCCTTGTGCAGCAAAGTGGATATTCTCGCTGCTTTTAAGGGAACAGCCCGATCACAATTAAGGCACCAGTGTGTATGTTTCCTGGCACACACATGACTATGGGGCACAGATTAGAATTCATTTCATCAAGCTTTAATTTCATGTTCAGCCCCTTAAAAGTTCCATATCTTTTAAATATGCTGCCAGCAACCTGTTATCTGGTATAATGAAAAGCAGTGTAACCACTCACCAAATAAAATCCCACATAAAATCTAAACCTCAGCTTCACTTTTCAGGCCCCGGTTTCATTGCTTCTTCCACCCTCCCTTTCTCTCTGCCAGAGCCTCTAATGAGCAGCAGCAACTCTGGCCAAACCCCGCCCAGTGTGAGCAGGTGGGTTTGATGGGATGTGAAATGTAGTTTGCCTCTAACAAGACTACCATTCGTGGGCAAGACCACATGGAGATCAGGCAGAGAGTGAGAAAAATCTAAGCAGATGTTTACAAATAAGAAAAAAAAATAAATCATACCGTTTGATTATTCATCTGAATAATACTCATGATGTGTCAAAGCCCATTTAAAGAAATATGTCTGGAAAGATGTCCTTTGTACTTGTTAAGTGTTCAGTAAGTGGGTTTCTTGAGTCAGAAATACATTTCTTTTCATCTTCACAAATCTCAGAAAAGCAGAAACTGTTTGGATGATAGAATCGTTTGTTCATTCTTACAGTCATTCATTTGCTTTTAAAAAAGAGGAAAAAAGACAGCTAACAAGTTCCAAAATAATTATTTTTGCTTTTATTTGTTAGACAAATCCGTGACTATAACTGTGGGGTTTGTGAAACAAAAGCAAGATTATTTTATTGTTACTCTGATTTGATTATCTAGTAATTTTCTAACAGAAAGACCTTATATTTTCATAACTAATACTGTTTGGCTTAAATTATGCTCTATATATGTTATGAGAAGAAAGAAATATGCTAAAGAAACTCAAGGCTGAATGTGAGAATCAAAACAGATGACGTGATACGGAAAGCATTTTAAAAGTGGTGAACATTTCACAGACTTACAAGCTTACTATTATCTTTAGACGTAAGATGGCGTAGAGGAGAAAGTAGACAGAGTGGGAAGTCAAGTACAAACTTTGCGACTAGCCAGCGTGTGGGGCTGTGCAGGTCCTTCACCCTCCTAAAGACTTAGTTTCTGTTTACTTAAAAATTCCCTGTAATAACTGCCCTATCCATCCACCACCCAAGCTTACTGTGAGAGTCAAATGTATCTAAAAGCACTCCTTTGAACTACAAAGCACAGTAAGTGATTCTGAAATTTGTGAAATGTGTTCTTGATTACGGTTGCCATTTGGGAGAACTACAACACAATTTCAGAAATCAGGAAATTTCAGGATCCCATTCATTACCCATACAGGAATTCAAGTGCTTCAGTTAATGTTCATTTGTAAATGTGATTAGTATTAATAAAAGACCCTATCCAATTAAAGCCTTTGGACCTAGAAGTATAAACACAAATATAATTCATGGATTTCTTAATTGACTTGCTATGTTGAAAATAGCTGTATTTTTTAAATTTACAGTTTTCTTTTGTAAATTTTTTTAACGTTTACTTATTTTTGAGAGAGAGACAGAGACAGAGGGCAAGCGGGGGTGGGGGGGAAGAGAGAGAGGGAAACACAGAATCCAAAGCAGCCTCCAGACTCTAAGCTGTCAGAACAGAGCCCCACGCGGGGCTCCAGCCCACGAACCGGGAGATCATGACCTGAGCCAAAGTCGGACGCTTAACCGACAGCCACCCAGACGCCCTACAGTTTTCTTTTTCATACAAGTAAAAGAATGTGTGTCATGTATGTATTGTAAAGTGATACAGAATGTAATAAGAAATATGTAATTAAGCACAAGAATATACCCAACAACGATGAGCCTAAGAACTAGGATAGAAGTAAAATGTGTATATTAAATAGAGTCCTGGTAGGAAAAAGGTGAGATACTTAAGGGTTTAGCTGAAAATAATACTGCACCAGCAATGACTAAGACTTTCCATATCTTCTCTATCTGAACAACACGGGTTTAAACTGTGTGGGCCCACTTTTATGTGGATCTTTTACAGTTAAGTGCTTTAAATGTACTTTCTCTCCCTTATGAACCCTTAATAACATTTTCTTTTTTCTAGACTAATTTACTGTTAGAATACAGTATATGATACATATAACTACGAAATATGCGTTAATCGACTATTCGTGCTATCAATAAGGCTTCCGATCAATGGTGGGTTATTAGTTAAGAATCAAAAGTTATATGCAGATTTTCAGCTGGGTCAGCACCCCTAACCCCCACATTGTTCAAAGGTCAACTATCTTGTGTTGTTGAATTCTTAGTTTCTGCCAATTGAGTGGGTAAAATGGTGGCTATCACATTTCATCTTAATTTTCATTTCCTTTATTACTAGTGAGATTGAATTGCTCTTCATAATTTTGCTTACCAAAAATCTTTCCTCTTTCATGAAATTTCTGTTCATATCTTTTGCCCAGTTTTCCATAGAGTAGTAGTGTTAGTGACTTATGAGGTTGCTTTTTAATATCTGAGACAATAATCTTTTGTTGGCTATGTGTATTGCAAATATCTTCTCAGAGCTTGCAACTTGTGTTTTCATTTTATTTTGAGGCACAGTTGTTAACGGAATCGTATTCATCAATCTTTTTTTTTGTGGTTGATGCTTTTATGCATTATTTAAGAAAGTCTTCTTTACCCTAATTTCAGAGTGATATTTCCTATATTTTTTGAAAAAAGATTAGTTTTATATTACATATATAAATATTTAAATCATTAGCTTTAATATGATGAAAGGAGGGTCCTACTTTAATTTTTTAATATAAATTGACGTTTTAAAGCTACATTTATCAAATAGTCTATTATCTTCCCCATGATCTGTCATGACACCCCTATATTTATCAAGGGTTCTTCTTTTTTTTTTTTTAAATTTTTTTTAACGTTTATTTATTTTTGGGACAGAGAGAGACAGAGCATGAACGGGGGAGGGGCAGAGAGAGAGGGAGACACAGAATCGGAAACAGGCTCCAGGCTCTGAGCCATCAGCCCAGAGCCTGACGCGGGGCTCGAACTCTCGGACCGCGAGATCGTGACCTGGCTGAAGTCGGACGCTTAACCGACTGCGCCACCCAGGCACCCCTATCAAGGGTTCTTCTATGCCTGAACTTGTATTCTGTCCTATGGGTCATTCTGTGTACCCATCGTGCCAACACCATGCTTTCTTATTTACTAAGGCTTTATCTTAATACATTATATCTGGTAGGACAATTCATTCCTCTCTATTCTTCTTCCTCATGAATATCTTAGCTAATGTTGGCTCTTTTCTATGTAAATATTAGAATCTGATTTAAAAATCCTACAGAAAACTCGATTAGAATTTTAATCAGACTAGCGTTAAAGCTACATATCAATTCGGGGACATTTGATATCTTTATGAAACTGAATATATCTTCATAACACTGAATATATCTTCATAGAAAATATCTCTCCATTAATTTAGATCTTGGTAAAATTATTTGAATGAAGTTTTTTTTTTTTTAATTTTTTTTTCAACGTTTATTTATTTTTGGGACAGAGAGAGACAGAGCATGAACGGGGGAGGGGCAGAGAGAGAGGGAGACACAGAATCGGAAACAGGCTCCAGGCTCTGAGCCATCAGCCCAGAGCCTGACGCGGGGCTCGAACTCTCGGACCGCGAGATCGTGACCTGGCTGAAGTTGGACGCTTAACCGACTGCGCCACCCAGGCGCCCCTGAACGAAGTTTTAAAATATATTACAAAAGGTCTTACACATCTGTTGTTTGATTTCCTTTAAGAGACCTAGTTTTATTGCTATTACAAATGACATGTAAAAATATTTTCTGATCTTCGTTCCTACTCTATAAAAGTACAACTGATTACTGCATATTAATTTAACATTCTGTTAACTTGCTATATATACTCATGTTATAGTCAACAATTCATATTAGATTCTTCTGGTGTTGTTTCTTCCTTTTTGGTGTTTTTAATTTCTTTTTATTTTCTTGGATCAGCTAGGATAGTCGAGGCTTGCCTATAACCTAATATAAATGTAATCATTTTTGTAAATACTATAATTATGCTTAAGAAGAATGTATATGTTATAATTTAGGATGTAGATATATATCTGTATGTCTCTACTTACATCAAGTTTATCAAGTTTTTCCTATATCTCTATTTTGTGTGCTTTGGCCTATCAATAATTAAAAGCATGTTGAATTTACCATTATGAAAGTGGATTTATCAGTTTTATTTGTAGGACTATTCACTTTTTATACGTACATGTTTTAAGGGCATTTTATTGGGTTTATGCAAATGATGTCTTCCATGTGAATTAAACTTTAGTCATTATGTAATAATCCTCTCTATACCTAAAATAGCTTTAAAAATCCTTCAAATATCTACTTTAAAAACTCATTTTAATCATTTTTAAGGGTATTGTTCAGTGGCATTAGTACTCTCACAATGTTGTGCTACCATCATAACTATCCATTTCCAGAATTTTTTTCTTACCCTAAACAATACCCCCTAAATAATAACTCCCCATTCCCTCATAAGCCTAGGCCCTGGTAACTTCTATTCCACTTTCTTTTTTTCTAAGAACTTGCCGATTCCTCATGTAAGTGGAATCATACAATATTTATCCCTTTTTGTCTGGCTTATTGCAGTTAGCATGATTGAAAAGTTTCATCCATGTTGTAGCCTATAGCCTAATACAGCTTTTTGTCTCAAATTCTATTTTTCCTGATATTACATCACTTGCCAGCCTTCTTTTAGGTAGTATTTGCCTAGTATATCATTTGAAATCTTTTGCTAGCAGCCTTTTTTTAATCTTTATGCATTAAGCATGTCTCTTATAAATTACATATAGCTTTATTTCCTCAACTCAATTAGAACTATTTAACCTTTAATTGACAAATTAAAATTATAATTATTGACATGTTTTAGTTGACATATATTTTTATTTTTATATTCAAATTTCTATCCTTTTTTCTTTCTTGTCTCTTATTTTTTATTTATTTTTTTCAACGTTTATTTATTTTGGGACAGAGAGAGACAGAGCATGAACAGGGGAGGGGCAGAGAGAGAGGGAGACACAGAATCGGAAACAGGCTCCAGGCTCTGAGCCATCAGCCCAGAGCCCGACGCGGGGCTCGAACTCACGGACCGCGAGATCGTGACCTGGCTGGAGTCGGACGCTTAACCGACT